TAAAGGTGAGCGAAAAGCAATAATTAGCCTAATTTCGTAATTTATGCAGACTGCTTGAAAGGTTCACTTCGATTTCTGACCATTCCCTTGTTAGCTAAATTTGCCGCAAGTGTGTCGCATGCACCAAGGGTCCTGTAAGAAAGTGATATGTTATTATTACGGTCGTGCGTATCGGCCTACAATAGGTCAAATGCGACAAAACTGTGATGACTGAAGTGAATTGGAAGAACGTTGATTTTACTAGTATCTATCGTAACCCACGCATCTTATGGCCTCTCTGACAAGAGAATCAATTTGCAATTCTTGATAGCCTGCGACTATATCTCAAAAAGGGGACGTATTGCCAATTTTCTATGCCTACTGCATTTCTGTAATCGTCATGTTGTCTAATTGGTACGAAAGTGATCGCTTTGCACGACACCACAGCAATACAAAATAATATAAGTAAGTGGGGTGTTATTTGATAAAGCAATGCAAGCTTTAGAAAATGAGCTCAACATACGTTTGAAAAACATAAAGTTCGAGCGAAAATCTAAACACATTTCATTGTTTCAAAAACGGGATCTCCTTCCAAAATATCTTTTGATCTTGATTTTTTTTTTCGCAGTAAACACATACTGAATTACACACGTATCATACGAATTTAAAGCAGTGGCGTACCGAGGGAAGGGGGGGGGGCAGGGAAAGGCCCCCCCCCTCCCCCGAGAACGGGTTGCGAAATTTTTGAAAGTTACTTGCATGGGTTATAAAATTGTGCAAATGACTATTTCCCCCCCCCCTCAAGCCGAAATCCTGGGTACGCCACTGATTGAAAGGTATGCACAACTTTGCCAAGTGACACCAAACGGAGACCATGTTAATGATTACCTCAAACTTGGGTAATTGAACAGTGCCAAACGATTTGAAACAAGCAAACAACGTGAAGCGTAACCTCCAACTACGAAGTATTGAAGCCATCATTAAATTATGTCAAATACAATGAGTAAGCGCATGTAGAAATGCAACACAAGCAATAAGTATAGATGATGGAAGAGGCTAAGTATAAAGATGAACATTAACATATATACGAAGGGATTGCTGGCTCCATCATTCTTCTGCAGCTCCAATCGTTTTCATCCAGCACGAGATTTGTCGAAGGGAGTTGCATCTGGCCTCGAGGATTCATACCATTGAATTCTGCAACCAGCTTCTTTCTTCAGCAACTACAAACATTGGTCGTTTGCACTGGGATCCGTGATAACGTTTCATTTAATACTGAGGGGTCATCCTGTGCAACTCTCATAATATCGCGATCTGCGATACGAATGTCATTGTCGCTCGACTGCGACACCATACGCGCTCCTTGAAGACTTCGAAACTAGTTCCTGATCAATGATTTCTCCCTTTTTTGATGGCGTTAGATACGTATAAGTCAGTGGCGGTCTCAGGATTTCCGTTCGGGGGAGGGGGGCAAAAAAATTTTCAGGGTGCTTCTGGAAGATTTTGCGGGCACACGACCCATGAAATCTAGAAAAAGGGGGCGTGACGAAAGCCACGCCCCCGAAAAATTTTTCCATGCCAATTTGGAATTTTAAAATTTTTAAAAAATTATTTTGATCATTTAAAAAATAAACAAGTCATTTGCACATTTTTATAGCCCATGTAAGCAAATTTTAAGACGTTTCGGACCGCAAAATCGCGCGCGGCGAAAAAGAGTGCACTTTCAGCCATTAGCCAACAAAGGGACCTTATTTCGTAGACTATGTGCTACATCTGTAATCAGCTTGTCAGATAAGTTCCATACCCAAAGTTCTGAGTGAATTGGAAGTGTTTAGATTTTGTCGCTTGAGAAAGACTTCTGTGCTTTCCTGAAAGATAGGAACAAGAACTCAGTTCCAAATAGTATTTAAAAGTATCTATGTTGTACACGGTACACATCATTATTGAAGCTGCGGTTTTTCTCTTTGGAATCGAAGCAAAGGAAAGTTGCGACGTCGCACGCGTCGTTCGCGTTGCCGCACCTCGTTCAACTGTTGTTCGATTTGTTCTCCTAAACAATTGCAGGCGGCACAACTCTACAGAGTCATTTGAGAAGTAGAAGCTTAGGACTTTGACTTGATATCCTTGGACTAGAAGAAAACTTCCTGTAAACATCAAAAAGATCCTTCAGAGCAGCGTGCTGCACGATGTGCAGCACCGGTCCGAAACGTGTTAAAAAATTCTGCGACTACCCCCCCCCCCTCCCCACCCTCAGCGGCTAAAAATGTCATTAACTGCCATGCGTAGTGTCAGCTCACATATTAAGTTACAAATGACTCGACGATTTCTGTCGCCGATGATGGCAATTCTAGTCGCTACGACTGGCTATCGCCAGTACCGGCGACAGAATTTACCGACTTCAAGCGTCTTTGATTCATATCGATCGAAGGGTTGCTATTCCACGTTGGACGCAATTTGGTTTTGAGAATAATTTAGCTCCTGAGTTCGAAGAAAACTTTTGTATTGGGTTGGTGCAAAAAAATGTCCGTTTTGCAAAGTTTCAATTTAAAAAACCATATTTGTCCAATTTTCATATTTTCGAATGCAGTCAAAAACGTCAGAGGCAGTAAACCTTCCGTAGTTTGGCGCGCATCTGCTCACACTGACATCGGCATCGGTAAGACCATGTGTCAAAAACCGAAAGTTCCTTTCTTGGAAACCTCGATTTGAAGGTTGCAACTCTCCTCAGTTTTGTTCTTTTGGCTGATAGCCAGCTTAAATTGTAGCCTCAGGGCAGTACGTGTATATAGAAAAGACTTTGAAGAATCTCTGAGTATAAGCATAGAGATCCAAAGTTGCTAACTTTGAGCCTAATTGTGGTAGACCTGAAAGTCCCGTATTATGGATTCTGGGAATTTCTCATGCAGTGGATAGCTACGTTCTTTTGTGAAAATTGTAAACAAGATGCCCTACAAGCTTACACAATTGAACTTTTTTGAAATTCACTTATACATGCAATGTGTGAATAACATTCATCCTTTTATACAAGAGCTACGTTTTTAAAGAATTCCTTCTGCCTGGCCATAAAAGTGAAAGTAATAAAATTTCATACTTGGGTGCGGCTCTGCAAAAACTGGTGAAAATATCATACAGATGAGAACTGAAGCATAGTTACACCACTCTGGAAAGTGACTAAAAGAACATTTCACAAAAGCAAAGTCTATATCGAAAAAGAAAGTTTGATGGAAAGAAGTTGTTCGGGGACTTAGGAAAACGGACATTGTTTTTGCACCAACCAAGTGGAGACAGCAGAATTCACGTAAAAGACGCCCTGTTTAAAGGGAATTGATTTTGAATTTTGGCTCAAAGAAAGAGCTTTACCTTGCCTTATACTACCTCCATTCACTTTTTTGGTGTTACGCAACCGTGATAAACTCCATAGCTCCGGTGCTAGTGTTCCTATAACTCGGTCATTGTCACGTTCGAAGCAAGCAGATCCATATTGCGCTTAAAGGCATAGATACCTTCGTCCCACCCACTCAGTGATTTTGCCTAGCATACGCAAAGCTCAAGAAATCGATCGAATCATGCAAAAGTGAGTCTGCCCCGACCATGGGGCCCGCAGCTGGCCCGCAGCTGAGCAGCAGGAGCAGTGAGTGCTTGTCTGCTGCGGATTCTGGAAGGCATCCAAAACTCAGTAATTTGAGACTTTCGTTTATTTAGGCCTGATTCGGACCCAGCGGGCGCAAGAAGTGCTAAAAAGGACAAATACTCAAAATTGAAGATTTGGGTGGACGTGCCTTTATCTACACTACGATCTCTACTTTCTAGGTATGAAATAGAGCATAGTGAAGGTTTTGGAGCATGTTTGGTCAATGGAAATGTAATGGTCATTCCTTCCCCCCCCCCCCTGAGGGTATGTGCCCTCTGGTTCAACTGGCTTGGCGGCTGGAAGACGGAGCTTTTTAATCTGATCAAGGCCGCTCGCGCCCGCGACGCAGTCTGCGTCTCTCTCTCGCGCGCGCGCGCTCTCTTTGATCATTATCTACAGTCTGCCCCAATCCTAAGCAGGCCAAAATTGGCATGGCGGGAATCCGCGTCGCTAGGGTTTTGCGCCACGCCTACGGCCTGCTTGTCTGCTCTCTCTTCGATCTCTTCGCTCTTTCCGACACTGCGTATACGCGGCGCAACCCCTCAGCGCTGCAAGCGCGCAATTCACCCCAACGGTTCGGCCTGATCACAATTGGAGCAGACTGTAGGCTTACTTGAATGAAAAGCTCCGCCTTCCAGCCGCCAAGCCAGTTGAACCAGAGGGTACTCAGGGGGGGGGGGAGGAATGGCCATTACATTTCCATTGACCAAACATGCTCTAGAACCTTCACTATGCTCTATTTCATACCTAGAAAGTAGAGATCGTAGTGTAGACCTTGGCAATCATACTAAAGCAAGTCGTCTGTATGATCAGCTGTCTAAGATGGCAAGAGTAATATGAATGATTTATGCATTCACCTATATTAAGATAGATAATGACGCGATCATACAGGGTGTCCCAAAAGATGTGCACAGCGTTTGATCTTTATTTGATCTTCAATAATTCTTCTTCTTCAACGTCTTTTATCGACCTTTACGTACCATTCTGTAGAGTTTTGCATAAAATCAGCATGCTTGAAATCCAATACATGATGTTCTATGTTTTTTGGAAGTTCCTCATCAAACAGTCTAATTTACCACAGCACAGTGTGCTCATAGTTTCTACCGTAATCCTACATCAACGAAAAAAGATTGAGGATTCACTCCATTCAATTCTTCTCTTGTAGGTTGAAGCCAACTCTACAGAATAGTATGTAAAGGTCGACAAAAAACATTGAAGCGAAATAGTTATTAAAGATCAAACAGTGTGCTCATCTTTTTGTGACAATCGGTGTATAAATGTAAGAATTCCAATTTTGAATAGAAGTTATAGCCACTGAAAACCATTGAGCTTGCAGCACCTGTATAATGATTATGTGCCTCGATTATAATTTTTTTTCATTTTCATCGGCATGTTCTTGCAGGGACAATGCTTGGTCTACATGGATGGAGACGAAATTACTAGTTTCGATGGCACCGTTTATCATCTGAAAAGGAACATGCCTAGCACGCAGTGCGAGAAATACGTCACCTTTAAACTCTCAAGGTTATCCATCCTTTTTGTGTAGAAGCTTATCTGCGTTTTACATGCATTGGAGCGCTTACAAGATTTTTTAAGCTCACAAGATGATGATGGTGATGATAATTTGCAGCTTTTTTGATATCTTCCCTGCCTCAATGCCTCTCATGTTTCTTTGGTAGATAGCTCTACCGATGCATCAAAATGTGTGTACGGCCCCAATCACAGTCTATGAGAGATTTTTCGTTGGCGTTGTCGTAATTCTTATTAGTCTGAAACAAAAAGACCAGCTTTCAAGCAAGTATGAATTGAGCAACGAGCCGGCTAACAATTTGTCGGCAACGAGCTGCAAATGTTTTTATCAGATTGGGATTGATGGTGATGCAAAGCAAGGCTCTAAGAGTTGCTTTTCGTACTGTGCGCCAAGTTTAATCCACGAAGACTTTGAAACTAAAATCTTAAATTAAAAATTTCAAATGCTCAAGAAAATGAAACAATCGGATTTCCTCTCAAAAACTCCAGACATTTCCCACCTTTATACTTCTATGCTATCGACATCATATATCCATATATGCAAATTATTCATCTATTTATGGAATTACTCAATACGCACAAGGCGTGCTACATTTGGAACAAAAAAACGAAAATACTCGAATTTGAATGTTAATGAACAAAAACAACAAAAAACATCCATCAACAGCTCAAATCCAGCTCCTAGATATGTTGAGAACAGAAAGGAGTTAAGCTGTTTGGACCATATACGAATATATTAGGTTGTGCCATAAGTCTTTTCATTTTTGAGTTTTCGCTATAGTAAGTCATACACTTCTTATTCCAAATAGACATTAGGATAAAATTCGATTTGTGCTTGTGCACCAGCTTCGATCCACCTCAAGTTTGAATCCAAAATCTGAAAGGTTTTGGATGCCCAGAGAATCAAAAATTATTTATCTTCACTCAGAAAAGTCCTACAGATCCTCACTCGCTCAAGCATATGCAATCCACGTTAGGCCCCGGGCAGACTTCACGCGGTTTGATCGTCGCGACTGAATCGCGACGAGACAACTGTTACAACATCATTCCATGCCGATCAACTTGCATTCGGTTGTGATACTTTTCCAGCCCGAAATTTTTGAATGTGAAATGAAAATGAATGGAAATGTCGCGACTGAGTCGCGACGAGACAACTGTTACAACATCATTTCATGCCGATCAACATGCATTCGGTTGTGATACTTTTCCAGACCGAAATTTTTGAATGTGAAATGAAAATGAATGGAAATCTTGGCGATTAGATTGCGACGATTGAGTCGCGTGAAGTCTGACCGGAGCCTTAGACACTTAATACGTTGACGACCGAGCCATTTTTGACCACATCAAAATGGACTGATGATCTACGGCTGCGGTTTTAAACTGTTTAACAGCTACCGCAATGCCGTGTGTTCTATATGACAACCAGGCCACTAGTGTTATCACTGCATAGAAGTTACCTGAGAACTTTTCGTTTACACATGATAAACTGATGCACGAAAGTGCTAAAAGGTGGTCAGGGCATGCATACGCGCGGATGCACACGGTCGTCAACGTGTTAAATGTGCTTTTGCTGTACTTCTTTTATTAGCTAGAAATTAAGAAACCGAAAACTTTCATGTTTCTACCAAAGTGATGCTTGCTGTTCTTACAGTAATATTTGTACACTACAAGCCTTTGGAAGTACAGCCGTAAATTTTTACCATTCTATGAGCTTTGGTTTCCGGGAAGTGTTGAGTTAAGCGTGACACCCGCATGAGGAAAGCTAAATATGATATTTCTCTGGAATTATCCTTTCTAGAGAGCTAAAATTTTAAGGTTGTGCTTCTAAGGGCTTGTAGTAAACAATTCTTAGTGTAAGAACAGCGTAGCGTCACTTTGGTAAGAATATTTTTCGTTGGACTTTGTTTCCTTGATTTCTAGCTGATAAAAAATGCAGCAACCGCACATATGAGTGTTAGTGTATATGGTGGGCGAGTAAGAGATCTGTAGTACTTTTCTGAGCAAGGATATAAAATATTTCCAATTTTCTGGGCATTGAAAACTTTTAGATACTGGTCTCAATGAGGTGAATCGAAGCTGGTGCAAAAGCAGAAATGCCTTCTTGTAGGGCTTGCTTTGCTTTATCGAATGGCATCTTAATATCCATTCAGAGTAAGAAGTATTGAGTTGGTCCGAAAGGTTGTGTCCCACCATTTTCAAAAAATCATGACTTCCTCCTAACATGATGTTTCTGCATGGATAAAACCTTTTTGGAAAGAGCAATTCATGCACTTTCTAACTGCTTTGGCTGCCATCTACTAAAATCTGAAAGCATAGGTAACATTGGGAAAAGGAAACTACTTCAAGTTTGGAATTTTTAAGCAAGCCCGCTGAAAAATCCAAAACTCTGCCATAAAATCAAAAACAGCCACTATCCTAGACCTTTCGACCTTCTCTTTCCAGCTGAGCAAAATTCGCGCTGATAGAGCTGTTACTTTAAAAGTTATGATTTTTTTTAAAAATGTCAAAAAATCTATTTTTTTAAAGAACTGATTTTTTGGCATTTTTTCTCGATTTTTTGGCATTTTTTCTCGAAAATCATAACCTTTCCAAGAAGGGCTCGATTAGCGCGAGTTTTGCCAATATAGAAAGAGGAAATCAGAAAACCTAGGATAATGGTTGTTTTGGATTTTATGGCACGGTTTTAGATTTTTTAACGGGCCTGCTTAAAAATTCCAAACTTGAAGTGATTTCCTTTTCCCAATTTTATCTCTGCATTCAAAGCTTAGTAGATAGCAACCAACATAATTTCAGAAAGTACATGAATTGGTCTTTTTAATATGTTTTTATCCATGCATAAACATCGTGTTAGGAAGAAGTTACGATTTTTTGAATATGGTGGGACGCAACTTTCGGACCAACCTGATATATGGCTCACTACAGCGAAAACTTAAAATGAAGACTTATGGGACAACCTACTAGTTGTTGTAATCTTTGATTAAAATTGAAAAAAATTGCAGGTGCTTCACATGGTAGCATTCTGATTCCTTTCTACACAAGAAGGGGTATACCACAAACCTTTGTAAGTATCATATAAGTACGGCATTATTGCGTTTCACGAAACTAGTTCTCGAGAAAAATCAAAGAGTCTTTTGCTTTTTTGTACTATATTTGAGATCTCTAGAAATATAGCTCGTATGAAAGATCAGAATTAGACAGTCACAATCTAATGTTATACTTGCAGAGGCAGAACTTTAGAATTACTTATGTAAGAACGCTCCAGCACTGCTTATAAAAAAGAAATGTTGCTTGAGAGATGTTGTTTCGACATAACCAACCAATGTTCCTTTTCAAACTCAGAGCTCTCGCATATCTGTAAGGCATCGGGCGGAGTTCACGCGATTCAATCGTCGCGATCAATCGCGACAAGACAACTGTTACGAGTTAATTGCCTGCCGATCTTCTTGAATCTCGGTTGTGATAAATAGTCACGATTAGTCATGTCGTGAAACTAGTAAAACCGAAATGCAAGAGTATGGCATGCAATGATATTATACAGTTGTCTTGTCGCAACGAATCGCGACGATGAAATCGCGTGAACTCTGCCCGAGGCCTAATGCTTACAATTAAGTGTTGGGCTGTTACCCGCCATTACCTTACAACAAACTCCTCAGAAGGCAGTTGATTGTAACTTATAACTTCCTCATCCTTTCTGAGACATACCAGAGAGAAAGTACAGGAGGTGCCGAGTAGCCGAAAAGTAGCAATGGAGAGGTATTATCAAGTATGATGTCAGAAAATAAGATACGCATCCACCCAATTCTTTAAATCGGACTACATTATCCAACAACAACTCTGCTTGACTCAACATATCTCTCACGAAAAAATTCTCCCTCTTTCCTAGCCTCTTAAAAGTCACCGCAAAGTTATTCTGACTGACCCCGACTACGTGCTGTATGGAAATGCCCTAACAAAATTCCAAGGTCGTGCGATTTAGATCTTTGTAGTAAACTGGAAACATTTGGCGAAACGGCAACAAGTCCCTCCGTTTCGCACCCTGACGCCCCCTTTTATTTCGGAGGGAAACGGTGGATAATATTTGAGAGGGACGCCACATTCTCTTCCAGGGATTTATGCATGCGATTTCGAGGCGCTTGATGTAAACCGGGTGCGTAGACAGCAGACGTAATGAGAGATTGCTTTTGAAATCAGAATTGCTGGTGGTAATGCCAACTGTGTTTCGAAATAACTGCAGCATTGATTCATCTATTGCCACAGTGAGTATGGTCTGGTAGAGATCGTCAAACCACCTATGCAATCTGCAGTATAGCTCTGACATTCTCAGTTACCCGCAAAATCGTTAGAACAATACTCGGTTTCCCCGCTCCAGCTAACAAAACGGGTGCTCCTCAGCTGATTTTAAAAGAATTTTATGTTCAAATCTACTACAAATCACAATAGTCTCAGTAGTTTTTGGATTGAAAAATGAACAAGCTGTACTTTTGCAGGTTGAGGCCGACTTCTGCGGAGCTAAGCAATTTTTGAGCCAGAATCTTCGTTTTCCACACTTCGTGAATTTTGCAAAAATTTTGTTTTAGGAGAATTGCACTGAAAAAAGGCATTTTCCTGGAAAGAAGAATATACGAACAAACAGTGGTCTTGATGATAGAGTTGAGGCCGACATTTTACAATCCTTTCGAGTCGAAACCTCCACACAGTATTCGTGAATTGCAGTATTGATGTGTCTGCCTCAACCCCTCATAGCAGTCCTGTAAGATCCCTTGCCCCTATCAATTTTTTTCTGCTCATTGAAGACCTATACAAAAGCAACAAAACGGCATGTCTATCATGAGATTTTCTCCCATTTGTTGTTGTTTACTTTATGTTTTACTGAAGGAATGATCTAATACGATTTTCACCATCAAAGAAAAAATCTTCTTTTGTGGCAACATTTCACTTTTTCAGCTCCACTGTCTCCCCAACATCAACCTACAGAATCAAAATGCACACTCCGGTGGGTTAATTCGTCTTCTTATGCATTTGTTCATTTTTCGAATAGTGGCATTAAGTAAGGCCATTGGCCTGTTCCTTTCCTGTGAGTAGAGTACTGACGAACGACGTTCACGCAGACTTGAAAATGTGGGGAAACGCACGTGCAATCTGATTACTCCGCTACCGTATTTGGAGGAGAATCTGCGTCGGGTGCATGCTGCAGCGTGGGGATTCACCGTTCACGTGATAGGTCCAGCGCAAAAGGCTGCAAGATGCAAGTGGGCTGATTATGGCACTAAGGACACGTAGCGTCGGACGCTGTTAGCAATTTTGCTTTACAAGCAATCGTAACTTGTATCCTATTAATGTGGAGAAGCCTAACTTTATTGAAGGAAGAAAATGTTTGTGATTAGGCTAGAATGTGTGTTACTTTTGAATTTTGAAAAACGCAAAAGTCTACGCAGAACACACATTACAAGCTGTGCCACCAAAATAACGAGGATAAGGCATCCAGAGCTGCCCAATTGTTTGCACAGTTACCGCCATGCTACACGCCACCGCCAGTTACGCCAACTCAATGCGCATTTTATTGATTGAAGGTGATGGTGGCGCTGACAAGGGAAAGTTTATTCCAAAAGCTCACACTATTTGACCAATAATAACGTGGAAGGAATACTACAGTAGTTTCAATACGTATTGTTCTTTTCTGGGGTGCGTAGCAAGTGGTACCCGGGCAGCCGATGCTGCCACAGCCAGCCGCCAGAGCTGGCGTCAACGCAGCCGCATACGGTAGGATAATTGCGCTAACCGTCTGAAACTCTTCGACGAGAGATTTCTTCGCACCTCGTCGCGCTGAGGTGCGATATCAGCCTCAGGGATAGCGCGATATCATCAATAATGTTATCAATATCTATATCATTTTAATCAGAAAAGACTGATTGGTTCTTATATATCAACTAGCTGGCATACCCGGCTCCGCCGTATGTTCCGATTAGAAAATTCCATTTCTCAACAGATCCGAACCAAACTTGGCACACATACACTTCGGGCCCCGGCGGGTGTCACAGTCCACTTTTCGTTATCGATTGATGCCGATTTTATCGAATTTTTGCAAAATTTGAGCTAGGGGGCTGGGATTTGGCACAGGGGGTAATCGAGCATGCTGATTACGAATACAATATTAGTTTTCGAAACCGTGCATTACTTTTATCGATTTTATCGATTTTTTTGCAAAATTTGAGCTAGGGGGCTGAAATTTGGCAGGGGGTGTAATCGAGCATGCTGATCACCCCCACGGGGATGATCAGCATGCTCGATTACCCCCCTGTGCCAAATCCCAGCCCCGTAGCTCAAACTTTGCAAAAAAATCGATAAAATCGATAAAAGTAATGCACGATTTTAAAAACTAATATTGTATTCGGAATCCCCATGCTCACTTACCCCCTGTGCCAACTCCCAGCCCCGTAGCTCGAATTTTGCAAAAAATCGATAAAATCGATATCGATCGATACGAAAAGTAGCCTATGACACCCGCCGGGGCCCGAAGTGTATGTGTGCCAAGTTTGGTCCGGATCGGTTCAAAAATGGAATTTTCTATTCGGAACATACGTACACACATACAGACAGACAGACATACATACATACAAACAGACATTCAGCTTTATATATAAGATATCTATATCATTTTAAACAGAAAAAAATTCCTAGTTTATTGAGAACCATGCAAACAGTTACAAAACTATATACAAGCGACAAATCTCCAAAATTGGGCAAACAATTACAATTACAAAAGTGAATAAATGACAAATTAAATAGTTTTTTCTGTTACAAATTTGGACATCATAATACAATAACTATTAATTGTGGCTGTAGTTACATATGCCCCAGAACGATACTCTTCCTTAAAATCTGTCATAGCATTTATTATCCGTTCGCGACGCAACAAATCCTTTCTACGTAGTGGTTTGCAGCTTCGAGATTTCTGAATAAAAGCTGTTATGCATGATTTGTATCGCTTAATACTAAACAACCTCTAGAACGTGCAGAAGTGTCCCCAGCGTGGTAACAGTAATTCTTTGAAGACATTCAAGAAGTTCCTCGAATGGGGGATGAGTCCTGCGACCCAGTAATCCCCTCAGCTTCCTGAAAACTTCAATTAAAATTTTAACAAATTCAAAAAATAATTTATAAAAAATTCTTACCTATGAAATGCCTCAGCTGCATTTGTAGTTCGCAGCTCCTCGATGTCAAATTTACACCACATGTCTTTATACTTTGAAACCATGTTTCCCCTAAGTACTCGAGAAATTTCTTACAAGGCACGTAGGAAGCGTGCCTGCTATTAACTGGTGGAAACATCAGAGCTGGGACCCTTCTCGTTAAATCCTTTGGTAAAAAAACGACTCCTTTTACCGTATTCCACCATCTAGCCACAGCTCTAATTTCCTTTGGCCCTCTTATAAACTGCCGTAACCCCAAATGCTTAGCCATTCTATTCCAAGCTTGTGCCAAATGAAAGGCACAGCCTTGAAGTCGCGCATTTGGGAAAGTTTCTCTAATTGCTCTTATGGCAGCCTGGAATCAGTATCGATATCGGAATCAATCGGGTCGAATTCGCGCACCTTTTCATAATCTAAAATTATTCTGATATTGCCATCCCCTACTTTTTCTTTTAGACACTCAAACACGCTCTTGTAGAACGCGCGGTTTTTTTACGCGTTATTGCAAACAGAATAGGAACCTAAAAAAATTTTTTTAAATTTGATTTCTAATTTAATTTCTACATGAAATAATTTCCATGAAGACTTGAGAATTTGAAAAGCGGTCTCGTTGAAATGGTTATTGGGGGTGGTTCTTTTCAATTTTGGATCGTTTTTTATGTTTTGACAGCTCTAAAATTTGCGGAAGTATAGACATGAAGACAAAAAAGATAGACAAAAAGAAAGAAAAAAAGAAAGAAAGAAAGGAAGAAGACCTCATAAGCTACACGGTTAGCTTTGTCCTTATGTCTATCTAAAGGTATGCAGTTGTGACTTAGAAGACATGGATCTTTATCGAACAAGTTCTCAAAAATCTAAAAAAGTGGTTTTTTATTTTTTTTTATTTTTTTTGATTTTCACGTACAGCAACTGATGTGTATTTTTTTGTTTTGTTTCTTGCATCCATAGCATCTATATAAAGCCGTGTCCGTTCTTGATGATTTCTTATGATATTGGAAGACGTAACAGAGACGCGAACCAGGAATATCATACAAGATGACCGGGTGAACTCCTTGCTCGCTTACCTTAAGTTCCCCGCGGAACTCGCGGGGAACTTCACTAGTTGAAGTGTACAAATGGGAGGGCAGAGGCAAGGAATTCTAGATTATTAATTTTTTTCATGGAATATATTCCATGAAGTTATATAGTTTAGTTAGTTATAAGTTATATAGTTGTTGAAGTTATATAGTTTAGTTTAGTTAAGTTATATAGTTATATAGTTATATAGTATATAGTTTTGTAACTGTTTGCATGGTTCTCAATAAACTAGGAATTTTTTTCTGTTTAAAATGATATAGATATTGATATATAAGAACCAACCAGTCTTTTCTGATTAAAATGATATAGATATTGATAACATTATTGATGATATCGCGCTATCCCTGAGGCTGATATCGCACCTCAACGCGATGAGGTGCGAGGAGACCTCTCGACGGAGAGGTATCAGACGGTTAGCGTAATTATCCTACCGTATGCGGCTGCGCTGACGCCAGCTCTGGCGGCTGGCTGTGGCAGCAGTCGGCTGCCTGGGTACCACTTGCACGCCTCCCTCTTTTCTGCTGTATGCCTTCCATCCTCAACGTAACATGGATTGGTGCGGCGCCGCCTCGTTTAGCGAGGCACTCAGACAATTATTGCGACCAACCGCGGAAGAGCGCTGGCCGACGTTTCATCTATGCCGCGGAAGGTATATAAAATAAACGTTCAAGCTCTGAAATCAAACGCGGATGCTCCGATGGACGACCGAACAACACCCGCGGATGTCCCGGCAATCACCCGATATATGTCCGCAGATGACCCAATAGGCACCACTCAGTCCCGGAAATAATTTCATAAAATTCTTCGAAGTCGTGTGTTGATTTTTTTAAACCTCGCATAAACCTCTATGTCAAAAATGGGTCTTTGTCGTAATGTTTGGCACACCCTTGCAAAGTCGGCAACTCATCTGGTTTAGTGAGCCACATAGTAGTCATCCGAGGGCGCTATCGAAGACCAACTCCATTGCTGGTCATAGGCTGAGACGAGATAGGCAAAAAGTAAGGCGTTTAGGGCACGTCAACCACCACGGCGTTTCTCGAGCAACGTTTTCGCTTCCAGCGTGTAGGAATTGTGGCATGCAGCAGGGCCTGGGACTCGCCAGAATGATTCTGTTGAGCCGTTGATTGGAAGGGCCGGGGTTTGCTTAAAAATGACGTGGACGGCGCCCATTTCCGCGACTTTACATAGATAGAAACGGAGGGCAAATGGAGGATGTCCGACCGATAACGGCCGGAGCTTACCTGATTCGGAAACTGTTGAGGTGCGGGGCATCCGAAAACCAATTATGAACACTTCCCTAAAGCCTAGGGGGCTCGCTTGAAGGTTTTCTCTGAAACCGCTTGTGTTTCGATTAAACAGTTAGAGAGCGCGGCCTTTCGCTAGTGGAAACATTGGGACGCGGATGGCCAAGCAAATAAATCTAACAAGGGAAGGATACTTAACCGCACTGACGATTGGGTAAACGGTGTATACCGCGTATACCGTGTCCCCAGACGGTGATCTCTAAACCGCAATCCATACCTGCTATGACGTCATTCTGGAGGAGTCATAAAGGTTTTTTGGTGCAGTGGATAGTGGCTTGGACTGCAGAGCGGGCGTTGTGGGTTCGATTCCTCTGGGAAGCCACTCGTTTTGCATTTTTGTAAATCTTAGCAGGCAGATTGCAAAACCTGTCTACATTCAAAAAAAGTTGATTTTTACAATTTGAAGCAATATATTTGCATTTATTGGCACTGAGACACCGTCTAACCTAAAAAACACTCGTTTTTAGCCTTTCTCATCAAAAACTTTACTCAATTTTACATTAAAGGGCTTCATGAACACATATGATATGAAAGCACAAAATGTGCAAAACAAAAAACATTCACAGTGTGCACAACGAATAAAAAGAATGCCTTCGCAGCCGTCTTGAGGGCGATCGTGTAAGGTCGCACGAGCCACACTCTTGGAGTAGGTAAGAGATGACGAGTTGTGGAGAGAGCATAGCAGTTGATCAACATATTGTGCATCAAAAAATAGATAAAGACTCCATTTTTGACGGGTTAGCTGCTCCTCTCTATGTTAAGCGCGAATTCGGAATTTTTCAATGTAAAATTGAGTAAAGTTTTTAATGAAAAAGGCTAAAAACGAGTGTTTTTTAGGTTAGACGGTGTTTCATTGCCAATAAATGCAAGCATATTGCTTCAAATTGTAAAAATCATTTTTTTAAATGTAGACAGGTTTTGCAATCTGCCTGCTACGATTTACAAAAATGCAAAACGAGTAGCCTCCCAGAGGAATCGAACCCACGACGTCCAGCTCTGCAGTCCAAGCCACTATCCACTGCACCAAAAATCTTATATATAAAGCTGAATGTCTGTTTGTCTGTATGTCTGTATGTCTGTATGTACGTATGTTCCGAATAGAAAATTCCATTTCTGAACCGATCGGGACCAAACTTGGCACACATACACTTCGGGCCCCGGCGGGTGTCATAGGCTACTTTTCGTATCGATCGATATCGATTTTATCGATTTTTTGCAAAATTTGAGCTATGGGGTTGGGAGTTGGCACAGGGGGGTAAGTGAGCATGGGGATTCCGAATACAATATTAGTTTTTAAAATCGTGCATTACTTTTATCGATTTTATCGATTTTTTTGCAAAGTTTGAGCTACGGGGCTGGGGTTTGGCACAGGGGTGTAATCGAGCATGCTGATCACCCCTGTGGGGGTGATCAGCATGCTCGATTACACCCCCCTGCCAAATTCGAGCCCCCTAGCTCAAATTTTGCAAAAAAATCGATAAAATCGATAAAAGTAATGCACGATTTTAAAAACTAATATTGTATTCGGAATCCCCATGCTCAGTTACCCCCCTGTGCCAACTCCCAACCCCGTAGCTCAAATTTTGCAAAAAATCGATAAAATCGATATCGATCGATACGAAAAGTAGCCTATGACACCCGCTGGGGCCCGAAGTGTATGTGTGCCAAGTTTGGTTCGGATCGGTTGAGAAATGGAATTTTCTATTCGGAACATACGGCGGAGCCGGGTATGCCAGCTAGTCCTTTATAACTCCTCCAGAATGACGTCATAACAGATATGGATTACGGTTTAGAGATCATTGTCTGGGGACGGTGTACGCGGTATACACCGCTTACCCAATCGTCAGTGCGATTAAGTATCCTTCCTTTGTAAGACCGAGGATGGTTAGTCCAAGAATAGCGCCTGCGCACCGCCAAAAAACGACGTTAGGGGCCGCGCGTGCTCGCAGTAACTGTCTGATCAGTCGCCCAGATTCGACTAGCCTATCTTCTCACGCTCCTCCTATAAGTGGGAAAATAATTATTTTACAGTGTATATAGCCTTTGACGTTTTTGAAAGCAAGGAAGATGAATAGCGATTCGAAAACTGCGTCCTTTTGGCGATTATATCTTCCGGCACCTTATATAAGGGCGCCCCAGCAAACAAGTTCTTTCTAAAATAGTGCTATTTGGATCTAGCAAAATAAAAATAAACCACGAGTGTCTATGTTTGTCCGTCAAATGCGCACAAATAATTTTTCACAGGAAGCGCAGAAACAATTTTGATTTGATTGTCTATGCTTCAGCTGTAGAAAATATCACAAACTTGTACAAAAGCCATTTTTTTGTAAAAACCTGTTGAAATCAGCACACGCTGCAGATATCCGAAATACAGTTCTAAGGTAGACAGTCGTAGTCAGAGTCCATATGATATGCTAGATTAGGCTTGATGGATGACATTTAGTTTTTCGGAATGGACAGTTTTGTACTTGCATTTTTAGGAAGAAAATCCTCTTCGGCTTTACATTGGAGATTTTCTTCAAGGAACCCTTCTTCGTGTGATTCTGACACCGCTGGGATCGGTTTTCGAAGTGAGAAATAATTCTTTATTGAGCCTTGACTACAAGGGCGCTTTCGTCCTAGAAATTTTAACTTATTCGGGATATCGTCGACTTTGAAGAGCTAGAAATGTCCGAGACGTCTGTGAGAAAACTACGCCGCAATTGTTGGGTTGGAAAGAAAAAAATTCTTTTTTATTTCCTTGTTGTGGCATCGCAACAAAGCAAACTCAGAAGGCGTAGTATTCGATAGAGCAAATCAAGCTCTACAAAATGGCATACTGCTTTTGTATCAAGTTTGAATCTGAAATTCCAGGACTAGAACCCAGAAGTTTCAAGTGACCAAAAATCCAAATTATCGTATCTTCGTTCAAAAGTTTTCTACGGACCCCCAACTCGCTCAACATATATCTCTCACAAGACATTCATATAGGCAGTTACTGGATTTTCTCCTTTTCATCCATCAAAAAATCAAAATTTTTCATGCCTCTGCCTAAGTTATTTTGGGTTGTTCCCTTGTAAGTAATTCTATACTACTTAGCTTGGCAAGCCATAGAATTTCTAGAATTTCAGCCATTTACAAGAGTTAGTATTCAATTTAGTTTTTTCCTTCCGTTCTTTGAATTGAGTTTGACATTTCTCGAGGGCTACCTCTTGTAGAAGGCGAAAAACTGCGGTTGTACTTTCCAGGATAAGTAGTATAGAATTACTTCCGAGAGAACAGCCCAGCATCATTTCGGAAGAAGCATGAAAATTTTAATTTTTTCCATGTTTAGTCAAGCAAGAATTACTGCATTTGCACATATGGGGGTCCGCACAGGCGGAGATATGAACTTTTTTGTTTTTTCGGCCATTCAAAACTTTTTAGACTCCATCTTCGAACTTCATGTGGTTATAAGCCAGTTTTTAGAGCTTGCTTTGCTCTATCGAATGGTATCCCAAATATGCTTTCTGAGTTTGCCTTGTTGCGATGCCATGAAAACAAATGAAAAGCGACATTTTTTCCAACCACATTTTCTGCAAAATTATTTGTCAAACGTGTTCACCTGCTTTTAAGTGGTATTATTCCATGTTTTGATGTAATTGTGACTCACACTCAACTCAAATTGCCAACGGAGTAACAAGAAAAAAAACGGAACGTGGCGGATACTTTGGCAATCACTTTCTCACACTTTTTAAAGTAACCCTGCAAGTCAAAAAAAAATTTGGGCTGGGCTGGTCTGAAAGTTGGTGCCGTTTTCCAAACCTATGCTTAAGTCACACTGAACAGAGATAAACAAAAGCTTCAAGAGATATTTGGTGCAGAATTTCTTCCTCTTTCAAGCAGTTATGCTTTTGTTCCGAGTCTCTTGATGATCGCTCAGATAATCGTTGGGATCTCCAACTTACAAATTTCGCTTACCCCAATTTGGCTGCATGTCGTTATGGAGCAAAGCCACGTCCTGTGGTATATCCTACGAGCCATTTGCGTTGGGTCGCTCTTGATTGCAGACGCATAAGAGCTAACGGTGCCTAGCGCTGTCGCTATGCCCACGGAGCAGCATATGCGCAGTGCGAGGCCCACAGTTCAAGATAAGGAGTGAAGTTGAGCAGAGACAGAATAAAAAAGAGAAGTATTTTGAGATGTTCAAAACAGTATAAATGCGATGAAGCGAAACGATGTAAATGCGATAAAGAGATTAAAGAATGGGAAATAGACGGATTTTCTAAATGAATTGAGGAAAGAAGATGTCTGTTAGAAAAGCAGAGTACTAACGAGTACAAAGAAAAAGAAAGAAAATCGATTAGTTTTCTCAAAAAAATCGCTGATGAAGAATTTCCGTTTTATTTTCTGCTAAATTTCTCCATTATCATTTTCGTTCCTTTCCTACATTTCTCTGATTCTTCTTTTGAGCTTTTTTGTCATATACCCTGTCTTTGACCCAAATTCCATTTTTCTCCGTTTTTCAACCTCTTTACTGCATTTATACTGTTTTGAACATCGTCTCAGGGCGAAACAATATGGAATTGCTCGATCCGCTGCAGTAGCAGCGCTAGGTTTTCTGCGGCGGGGAAACGCGGCGCTGCTTTTCTCCATAAACCCCCCCCCAATGGCTAATTTTCATTCTTACATTTCAGACTTTGGGATTTTATTAACAAAGGGTAGGGCAAACAACATGCAACACAATGGATTTTTAATCATCTTAAAGACAGCGTCCAGGCAAATCTGAACGCATCGATTTCTCGCCTGGAAATTAATGCGGATGTCCTAATTAAGGCACTGCCCAAGAGGCAGCGCAAACGAAAACAACGAAACGCTCTGCCTGTCTATCCTATTCAGGGTGGCACGAGCAGTCCTTATGTGGGTGATTCCACCTTCTTCGTATATTTTCTTGATTATATCCGAGTAATAATCTGTAAAAACTGGGTGCCGTCGTCGCTCACTATTGTTTGCGGCAATCCATATCTTGCAAACAAGTTCTTGAAAGGTTTTCCGTATTCGCAGCCGAGATATTGCTCATCTCGATCATCTCAGACTATTTACTGTATGCGTCCACTACCACCAAGTAGAAGACTCCTTGCATCGGTCCAGCAAAGTCGATGTGTATCCTCTGCCACACTCGCGTCGCGGATGGCCATGCTTCTAATGGTATCTTCGTCGGATTTTTGGCTAATTCCTGACATTTCGTGCATCTTCGCACCAAGTCTTCGCAAACCTTGTCTACCTCTATTATACTCTTAAAAACTGCCTAGGCTGAAATTTTGGCGCATCAACTTGAGTAGTGGTTTTGGTCATTCTGTGGCCCATTGATTTTATTAAAGAGTGCAATCGTCGAAGCATAGCCCATTTCTGTAAGCGTAATGGTGGGGCTCTTGTTTACAAGTTTTTTAGAAATGTTTAGCTGTTCAGAATCCAGAAAATCAGAAATTTTCCATATTTCGAAATTTTGAGACCTACGAAAAAATGCCGAAAAAGTGGACAATTTTGAATATTAGCTTGTCCCATTATTCTTGTCATTTTTTTTTTCGCTGTGATAATCCATAACATATTCTAAGTAACCATCAGGAGACCCCAAGCTCGATTATTGATGAATCTTGGCATGATGTAGATATTTGTATATGTTTACTTGAGTTGATCACCAAGATTATAGCACGCTTTATTCAATCAGGCTAACGTTTCGGTGCCTTCACCTTCGTCGGAGCCTGGAAGGTCGTCACATTAGTGGTTTGTTCTCCCAAACACCTCGTTCAAGCCAAGGTTACATTCAACATCAAGCCAGGCTGAAAGCCGTGACGGAAACCGTCGTTCATGCTTACCTCGGCTGTCTTCGAATCGTAATAAGCCTACCAGTGCTAGTCTTTCGAATCTCAAATGACCAACCTCTGCTACCACCATCACAGAATTAACATCTCAGTCTACACTTATCGAACCCCGTGTGTCTGTTATTGGAAACGTTCCTCTTTCTGCGGCTGCATTGTCAGTCTTGAACATGGGACCAAGTTTCGCACCAGCTCAAAAAGTAGGTCCCCGGGTAACACAAAAGATTGTTGGCGGCTTGCGCAAAGTTCACGAGCGCCTGCGACAGAAAGCAAAGCAGAGCGAAGAAGAACATAACGGCAGTATAAACAACAGCGATACGCGCTTGCCTCTAAATCCTTTCCCTTCTCTGACTTTTAAGCCACAAGGTCCCCATCAAGTGATAGACGCAAAATTTCGAACACTAGCCACATCCGTTCTCACACTTCTAACACGCTTTTCAAAAAGACATCCCATCTCCAATTTAACACCTACTCAGTATCTTGGTCTCCGCGTACTTCATGAACTACGCGCTAGTAATAAGGTCAAGATATCCATTAGCGATAAAGGAGGGGATTTCGTCGTTTTGGCAAGGGAACTAGATATGGCTATATCAATACATCACTTGAATGATGAGACATTATATCAGGCTTCCTCTGAGAACGAATTTGCAAAAGAGTATCGCCGCTTGAACAGACTATGGACAGATATTGCAAATTCTGTTGGCTTACCGAAGAAGTTGATATCACATCTGAAATGCGATCTGCCCAGATGTCCTGTCCTTTACGTGCTCATCAAAACCCACAAGGTCACTGCTAATAATATCCTCTCCTCGGACCCTGCAGAGTTCAAAGTAAGGCCTATTGTAAGCAGTTGTGGAGGTCCCAGTGATAGGATATCCTGGCTGCTGAACTTGACTCACGCAATTGCTTCGATATATTCCTGCTCATCTAACAAATACGAGCATGTTTCTTGAGCAGATGAGTAAGGCGCCTCTAACTGAAGAATGTGTCATCGAATCATTCGATGTCACTTCATAATATACCAATGTTTCGAATAAAGCAGCTATGGAAGCGGTTTACGAGATATTGTGCGAACACCATGGCTCCATCAACATGTACGGCTTTGATATCCGGCATGTGATGGTTCTTCTCAAAGAATGCCTTAGCTGCAACATTTTTCGATGGTGTGGGCAATATTATAGACAAGTCAGGGGATTGGCGATGGGCCAAAGGCTGGCACCTGTCGTTGCCATTGCCTATATGTCAAAAATCGAGAGCCCCGTACTAGCGCGCAAACCAATACTTTATTGCCACTATGTAGATGATTGTTGTATTGCGTGCGCGACACAAGACGAACTAGACACTTGCTTCAATCTGCTAAATAGCCAATCCCCATACATAAAGTTTACACGAGAGAAGCCCAGCGAAAACTGGCTGCCTTTCCTTAACATCCAAGTACAGTTGCGTGATGGATCATACAAGACCAAATGGTTTCGAAAACCAAGCAGCAAAAATATCCTGGTACCCTATCACTCGGCCCATCCTTGGAGCACAAAAAGGTCGGTAATTTCCAATATGTTTAGGACTGCAAAGGCAGTTTCCTCCGAGCAAGAACGCGCTACATCGTTAAGTCTTGCCAGACAGATTGCGAAGTCCAATGGTTACCCCACAAACCATTTATCGAAACGTACCTGGCACGAATACAGATCGCGCACAAGCAAGAATGAAGCAAAAATACCTTTTTGTGTTCCTTT